CTGGCACCCCACACACCCTGTTCTCTAAGTCCAGGGAGACTTCCTAAGCCCTACAGCTACTCTCCTAGAACCTTGGACTGTCCTTCCACAGTTCCAGCAGTGCACTCATCACACGGTTCATGAAGATTTTTTGCACACCCAAAAAATCTTTTGTACAAAATAAAATTGTTTTTGTAGAGAGGCGGTAAGGGCTCCAGAAGTGTCTGGTCTTCAGTGCCAAGCACAATGGCAATCCCAGAAAGGCGTGTCATTTCTGTAGGTGTTCTGACATTTTTTGAAAATTTATTTTATGGGGCCGGTGCTGTGGGGTAGCAGGTAAAGCCACCGCCTGTAGTGCTGACATGCCACATGGGTGCCGGCTCGAGTCCTGGCTGCTCCACTTCCCATCCAGCTCTCTGCTGTGGCCTGGGAGGAGAGTGGATGATGGCCTAGGTTCCTGGGCCCATGCACCCACACAGGAGGCCTGGAAGAAGCTCCTGGCTCCTGGCTTTGGATCAGCTTAGCTCTGGCTGTTGTGGCCATCTGGGGAGTGAACCAGTGGATGGAAGACCTCTCCCTCTCTCTGCCTCTCTGTAACTCTGCCTTTCAAATAAATAAATAAATCTTTAAAAAAAGAGAAAATTTATTTTATTCACTTGAGAGAGCAGAGTCTGCATCTGGGAGGGGAAGCCAGAGAAGAAGTTATTTATTTTAGAGAATTGGCTCAAGCAATTGTGGAGGTTGGACAGCCCCAAATCCGCAGGGCAGGCCAGTAGGCCAGGGACCCAGGGAAGCGGCCCCTTGAGTCTGAGGGCCCCCTGTGGGCAGAGTTCCACCTTCTCCAAGAAGGCTGAAGCCCACCCACAGTACAGAGGCTAATCTGCTTTACTCAGAATCCACCAATTTCAGTGTTAATCTCATCTGAACAATGCTTTCATTTCTAGACTAGTGTCTGGCAAGCAGCTGAGTATCACGTCCCATAAAATCCACCATCACACCCTCCAAGCCCTGCAGCTATCAGGAGGTAAAGGCAGGAAGCCCAGTCAGGCAGGAAGTAAAGGATGAGGGTTCACAGGGACCCCATGTCCTGCGGAGCCACCTGGTCACAGACGGGCTCAAGGACACCGGGAGTGCGTCCAAGCGCTGCTCCTGCAGGAGGCAGCAGACCCCGTGGCACTGACGGCCTGGAGCGTACGCACTGTCCTGACTGCCCATCTCTCTCTACACGTGAAGTGGCTGGAGACCACGGCCACACCGACCCTAGAGGGAAGACACAGAGAGCATTCAGAGACCAAGACTGCAGAGCAGTCCTCCTGGGCGCTCCTCTGGGGTACCCGCGAGGGGCCGTGGCTCAGGGAGACTCACCCTAACCCTAACCCTAACTCTAACCCTGTTTCTAGGGTTAGCATATCAGCCCACAGCTAAGGATGCATTCCCAGGTGTTGGGACGATGAAAACGTTCTGGAGATGATGGATGGTGTTGTCGGCTGCACCACAGCATGAAAGTACTCAGTGCCGCCGCATCAAACACCTCACGGGGTTAAAAGGGGACATTGGATGTTATGCGGATTTTACCACCAAATACATAAATAAAAGCCATTCTCCTTGAGGATGGGACCATGACTCTCACTTTATTCCCCACAGTATGCAACACATATATTTTATTCCTCAGTGTTCCTCATATTAAAGTCGACCAGATTACCAAAAATTCAAGGCCCCAGTCATAACACACAGTAAGTCGCTTCCTAGAGCAGTGTGGGCGGCCTCATCTGACAGTTCCCGGCGGTCGCAAGCATTGCCGGATGGTATCTTCACACACGGTTTCATTCTGAAGTGTTTGGTGAAACACCAAGGTAAATATTTTTAGTCCAAAGGCATTTTTTTTAAATAAGTCATTAAAATTTTTTACAATTTATTTTCATGTTATTTTAAAGGCAGAGAAGCAGAGAGAAACAGAGAGATCTTCCATCCACTTGTTCATTCCCCAAATGCCCACAACAGCCTGGACTGGGCCAGACTGAAGCCAAGAGCCTGGAACTCAATCCAGGTCTCCCAAGAGGGTGGCAGTGACCTAAGTATTTGAGCCACGACCCTGCTGCCTCCCACGGTGGACATTAGCAGGAAGAAGGACTTGGCACCTGAGCAAAGGTGCTCTGATGGGGGATGGAGGTGTCCCAAGCAGCATCTTAACCACTGAGCCCAACACCCTCCCAGGATCCAGGGACTTTTAAAGTCATCAACTCTATGGAACAGTCGTGTGCATGCCCAAGTGGGAGAGCAGCCCACTCCCCAGATGGCTGCAACACCAGGTTGTGGGAATCGAGCCACCCTGGTCTCCCAAACAGGTGGCAGGGGCCCCAGTGCTTGAGCCATCTTCTGCTGCCTTGTCAGGTGCATTAACAGGAAGCTGAACTGGAAGCTCAGCAGCTGGGACTCAAACTGGCACTCTGATATGGGATGGCGGTCTCGCAAGTGGTGGCTTAACCCACTGTGCCATGACCCCGGCCCCCACTTTCATCTGATTCTAACATTTCCCTTCAAACGAAATGGGGAGCATTCAACTTGTATTGAACAACATTGGAGCTGCTCTAAACATCATCACTGTTACTGTTTTTTTATGCAAGTGATGGTTTGCCTGCTTCTTGCACAGTTGCTTGCAGGATAAACTTACACACGAGGCGTGGTGAGAGGAACTGGCAGCAGTGAGCTCCACGGCTTTTCCACTGGTCATTTTCTGGGGTCCTTAAGAAATCCCAGGCCACTTTTGCATCTCTGTTTCTCACTTACCCCTGGATCTAGAATCTTCTAAGTGGAGCTAATCCTTACACAACCCTACTTCCCACGAACGCAGTCCGATCAGCTCCAAGCTACAGCCTCATCAGGATGAAAAGCTCAAAGCCGAAGCAAGACGCTGGTCTCTGCCAGGGGACGCCTGTACACGCACACTGTCTTCAGGGTAGCACCAACTGCAAGAAAGCTATCTGGTCACCCCAGGGTCAACTGTGCCACACAACACACTCTTACCAAGCTCACAGGTTTCCAGAACTCAGGTGACAGGGCCTGGGCATCTTCTCGTGGCCAAGGCACCACGTACACGCCCCTTCCGATCTCAGCATGCACCATGGTCGCCTGTGTCCCACCAGCCAGCCTCGGCACGGCAAGGGCGTAGGGCAGACACCGCCCGTGGCGAGAAGCACTGCAGTGTGGCAAAGGGCCATCACCGCAGCCAGCTGGCCACAGCTTCCCTGAGGCTCGGCAGCTGGCTTCCCCGGGGAAAAGTCATTCAGAAGAGGACAATGTCATTGAGACACTCCATGGAGCAAATATCCCGGTGTATACAGCCCAACACATGACCTTGGCAAAGAAGACAGGTGCAGACCCTTGCAACAGAGAGGACCTCCCCGATGACCTAGTCCCAGCCCTGTAGTCTCTACAGGAGGATCCCAAAATCCAGAGCAAAGACAGCCTGCTGGGCTCACACAGGATGCTTGCCCTGCTGATGTCCTTGAGACCAGAGGAGGTGAGAGGCAGTCTGGGGCTCTAGGGGAGAAGCACCATTAAATACTGGGTCGCCTGTGCCAGCCTCAGCCATGTTATCTGAGAAATGGGCCCAGTACTGCCTGTTCTCCATGCCTTGCCAGGCTAAGGTGAGAGATGTGGGTGTTCAGCCCCATGGCTGCACCTGCCCAGGGGCCCCTCCAAGAGCTGTCAAACTAGCATTAGCTCTTGGAGAACAAACATAAAAGGGGGAGGGGACACTAGAAAGACAATCATCCCCCAGGCCACTCCTGTGGCTCCTCCTGTATCTCTGGCTCTCGCACCAGGCAGAGACATCTCTTTCCTGCCATAGGCACCCTCAATTGGACCAAGGAACAATGGGACAGACTGGGGAGGCTGCGAAAGTTCTGGCTTCAGCTCTGTCCTGGGGCCGCCTACACCTGGAGGGGGCTCCCCTTCATGCAGTGCTTCTGGGGCTGCCTCTGGTGAGGGGGAAATGCAATTCCTTCTGCCTGGAGGCTGCTTGCTCGCCTCCCTCCTGGCCTCTAGTAACAAACCCTCCTGAGCTGCACGGCCTCAGAGTTTTACAAATAAAAGGAAAACTTCCAGGCCCAACCCAAGCCTCTCAGGTCGCACATGGAATTTATAGATTCCAGAACAAGGACACTATGGAGGTGGCAGACCTTTTGCTGGGCCACAAGCACCTTCCTTGCTGTGGCTCCGGAGCGGACACGGTGAGGAAACGCTCGGCCCAGTTTTCCTGTGACTCCTTCTCCAGCTCGGGGAAAGAAGGAAGTGCAAGGACCCTGCCTGGGGCTGCAGCCAACAGAGGGCAGTGAGTGTGGCGTCAGCAGTCACCACCAAGCTGGCCTGCCTGACCCAGTGTCACTGCACAGCATAGATGAGAAACTGGCCCAGCCCAGGAGCTGTCACCGGGTGCCACGTGCCAGTGTGCACCTGCCCCAGATTCCCCCTCTGTGGCCCCCACTGCTCCTGGCAGCTCAATATCTGATGTTTTTCCTGGAGCAGAGCTCGATCATGTCTTCCAAGAACGCATGCCAGTGATGCCAGCGCATGCTCCTGACGAAGGCTAATTTCACCAGCTGGTTGTTGGTGGCTTGTGAAGAAGGTGTGCTGGGGATGGGAGGGTAGGGCAGAGACCTGGACTAGAGGGGTGTCCTGGAGCAGTCAGAAGTCCCCAAGCCTCCAGGGAGTTAGGGGGTCACCTCTCGTGGCCCACCAGCTGATACTGCCAAGGCCTGTGCCTTGATGACTTGTTTCCCCAGAGGCGGTGGGGGTGGGGAGTGAGAATGTGCAGGGCACAGAGCTGGGTATGGCAGTGACCTCCTCAAGGGCGGGCTATCCCACTGCCGCGGTGGGCGAGGTGTGGGAGCAGCCTGGTGGCTATCACCAGGTGGAGTCTGACACGCGGGAAAAGGATAAGCCATGTTCTCCAACACCAGCGGTGCCTGAGGTCCCTGGCCGGTCCTCCCCGGCCCTGCCTGGGCCAGCACGGGGCTCACCTGGATGATGAAGCCAGTGGAGGAGCACTGCCTGACCCAGAGGCTGAATTTCCGCTTTTTCCTCTTCCGCAGCTCCCGCTCCGTGCACGTGGCAATGAACACGGGGTCCTCGTCGATCAGGGGTTCGTGTAGCACCTGCCAGGAAGGACAGAAGCAAAGATTCTCACGGCAGGCAGTGCGAGTTCAGGGGTTCACCAGATTTGAGTGCAAAGTCAGTTTCTGTGTGTGGCCATGGGTGATGGTGGCTAAGGGACAGGACTTCTCAGATCCTGAGTCTCCTTATCCACCAAGGGTAACGTCCGGATCCGCACCAGCTCCAGGGAGCACTGAGTAAGGTGTGTGCACACAACCCCCACAGGCCCTGACGGACAGCAGCTGTTCTGTAGGTGGAAACTACCACTTACTGCCGGGAGAGGGGTCCTTGGCCGCTGGCCGGACACACCTGCTGGTGGGCACCCACTCCCTTTCACGGAGGCTCCTTCCGCTGACGGACAGCTCCAATGGCTAAAACATTCTTTCCCTTGATTATTCAACATATACATCCAGTTAATTTAAAATTTTTTTTTGACAGGCAGTTAGACAGTGAGAGAGAGAAAGACAGAGAGAAAGGTCTTCCTTTTTCCTTTGGTTCACCCCCTAAATGGCTGCCACGGCCGGCACTGCACCCACCCGAAGCCAGGAGCCAGGTGCTTCCTCCTGGTCTCTCATGCAGGTGCAGGGCCCAAGGACCTGGGCCATCCTCCACTGCCTTCCCGGGCCACAGCAGAGAGCTGGACAGGAAGAGGAGCAACTGGGACAGAATCCGGCGCCCCAACCAGGACTAGAACCCAGGGTGCCGGTGCAGCAGGTGGAGGATTAGCCAAGTGAACCACGGCGCCGGCCTAATTTAAATCTATGATGTGATGTGTGCCCCATGAAATGAAGATGAAAAACATCCTATGTCTTGAGGGGGCTTCCAGACAGCTCTCACCATCAGCCCTTGACTCCTCTTTCCAGGTGGGATGTCTCCTTTACAGAAACCCTGCCCCAGCGCCCCAGCTGCCCTCTGGCTCTCCTCCAGGTCTGTGTCCCTGCTAATGGCAGAATCCCCGAGGCAAATTTTAAACTTATTTCACCCTGTGTCAACTTCCTGATAACACGGTTATGCGACTTTTGCAATGAGAAGATACTAAAGGGAAAAGAAATGGCACAGTAAAAATAGACTCCAAGGAGAGGCCATTTGGTCTTTAACCTAAGGCGTGCTGGGGAGTGTTTCAGGTGAATTTCAGGTCAGTGCTACACTTTCTTCCCAATCTTATTTCAGGCTTAATTATAAATTCAAGTCCACGTAGGCAGTAATCAGATTCCAGGAGCCGCACACACTGCTCCAGATCACAGATCATACTTAATCAGGCCCAATGCCTGTGTTCATCAGAACACTGCTGTCATTGGCTGCTTTGGGGCTACCATGGCAGAATAGACAAGATGTGACAGAGATCATATGGCCCAGACAAAGTCTAAAATACTCAAATATGGGGGTGTTTGGCCTAGTGATTAAATCAACAGTTAGAACACCTGTGTTCCACATCGGAGTGCCTGGGTTCAATACCCAGCTCTGGATTCTCATTCCAGCTTCCTGCTAGTGTGGCAGTGGTGATGGCTCTGGTAATTGGGTTCCTGCCATCTACGTCAAAGACCAGCGCTGACCATCTCCTGGCGCCATGCTCCCCTTCTCCATCCCCACTACTGCAGGCATTTGGGAAGTGAACCAGTGGGTGGCAGCTCTGCCTCTCAAACAAAGAAAAAGTCTGGGGCAGGCATCATTTGGTGCTGCATTTCAGACACTGTTTGGGATTCTTGCATTCCATCAGAGTGGCTCCAGTCCCAGCTCTTCCACTTCTCACCCAGCTTCCTGCTAATGTGCACCCTGGGAAGCAGTAAGTGATGACTCAAGTACGTGTGTTTGAGCCACGTGGGAAATTCAGATTGAGTTCTCGGCTCCTGGCTTCAGTCTGGCCTAGGCACAGCTGTTGCAGGCATTTGTGGAGTGAACCAGCAGACAGGAGATCAATCTTTCTGTTTGTCTCTGTCTCTCTGCCATTCAAATAAAATGAAAATAAATGAAACATTTAAAAAATTAATTCTCATTATATGGTCATTTACAGAAACAGTCTAACAAAGCACCTACAGATCTTGCCAAAATACCCACTTTGTTTCAGTAGACTGAGATTGTACATTTCTTTTTTGTCTTTTCTTTTCTTTTCTTTTTTTTTTTTTTTTTTTTTTTTTGACAGGCAGAGTGGACAGTGAGAGAGACAGAGAGAAAGGTCTTCCTTTGCCGTTGGTTCACCCTCCAATGGCCGCCGCAGCCGGCTCACCATGCTGATCTGATGGCAGGAGCCAGGTACTTCTCCTGGTCTCCCATGGGGTGCAGGGCCCAAGCACTTGGGCCATCCTCCACTGCACTCCCTGGCCACAGCAGAGAGCTGGCCTGGAAGAGGGGCAACTGGGACAGAATCCAGCGCCCCGACCGGGACTAGAACCCGGGGTGCCGGCGCTGCAAGGCGGAGGAGAGATTGTGCATTTCTAACAAACTCCCCAGAGATGCCAGGATGCAGGGGTGATACCATGTAGGGTTTGGACAGCACCTTTCCATTCTTCTATTATGAGAGTCTGTTTTCCATGTTTTAAAAATAACAGCCTTATATTGTTCAGGTTTAGTTGTACATACGGTTTTTTCATCAGGAGAAGCTTGGGACATTAAACCTGGCCTCCCCTGTCTTATGTTCATGAAGGAGAAGCCTGGAGTAGCTGTCCTGGCTGCCTCCTTGGGTCATCCTGCCTGGCTTTTTGCACTCTCTGGCTCTCTGCAACTCATAAAACATTCAAAGCCCCATTTGGACCCACTCTAGTGAAACGCACAAGTCCCACGTACAGTGGAGTAACGGTGGGAAAGACAAAGCAGGGCTCACAGAAGCCTTCATACTGCCTGTCCTTGCTTGCCCAGGACATGCATCCCACTCCCCCTTCTGTGGCCACACAACAAAACTGCCCTCTCTCCTTCTCCTCCTCCGTAAGGAAGCATTCCTGTACTCTGCTTGCATTGAATGTATCATCAGTGGCAAATTTATATTTAATCACATCAAAGCAAAAAGGCCAGAAGGATTTTCTGACCTTGATGATTTTTTCCCTTCTATCATCATTAAATGAATTATGAAAAAGTCATTACTAAATGCAGTAAAGTGTAGTGCGTTCCCCAGAGCTCTGAAAACCATGGCTGCCAGGAAAGCCAGCTCCTCCTGGCTTCTTCCTAGCCTCCCTCCTCCAGACTGCAGACTGCTTAGCACGCCTCTGCTCCCCAGGTGCACCTGCGGGGTCCCCTTCTGTAGGACGAGCTCATTCCAGGGTGTGCCGGGCGGCAGGTTAGGGCAGGGGAAGGTCAGGACGTCCACTCATTTCCTTGCACAACCTCTCCTGGAGAATATTCCTCGAATGAGCCTGACTCCAGTGGAGCAGGGTCATTCACAGAGGGGAGAAGCCGGGAAAGCAGAGCACTTCACTCTCGGCTCCTCCAGCCAAGGATGGGGACGAGTGCCCTCTTTCTTCTCTAAGAGGTGGAAGAGCATAAGGTGGAGCTAAGCCTGCCGCGGCAGCTGCAAAGGCGCGGTTGCCGCCCTGGAGGAGAAAGGGTGTGGGAGGGGCACAGAGGATCTGTCGGAAGCCCCAGGGAGCACGGAGGGCCCCTTCGTGATGCACAGGCACCACATTCTGCAGTTAGGGTTTCGCTTCCTTGGATTAATCTTGTTCCCCATGTGCTGACACAGCTGGCCTTCAGACAGGACTCTGCCTCGCTTCCTGCCCCAGGCTGAAGGGTGGGGTGCATGGGGTGTCCGCGTGTGGCTGCAGCTGGCCCCAGGCGCACTAGCACCTCCCAACTTCCCTCGCCCCTCATCACACCCACGGCAGCCGTCCCTGTCTGCACTGCTCTTCCACAGTCTGCGGGGATCCTGGCCGACACCAGGGTACTGCTAGAAAACAGCAGCAGAGACAAAACGCAGCTTCGCGAATGTAAAGGCAAAAGAATCCGATGTGGAGTGAAAATGATAAAAAAGCATGAGCCTCATCTCAGGCTCCCCTTCCCCGAGCCTCAGCTGACAGTGAAATGATGTGAGCTGCAGAAAAAACAAGAAACCCACCATTCCTCTAGGTCCTCTCTGTCCCTGTGGCCCCCAGCACTGCCCAGTGCAGCTGCACCACCGGGGAGCCCAGAGCTGTTTCCTCTGACACCTGCCCACCCACAGGGCTGCGGCCGAGCTTACTGCCTGCCAAGCATGGCTCAGGAAGGCTGTGGGGCCTCCTTTGAGGGCACCCAAGGGATGAGCCCACACATCTCCGGATTCCCAGGGGACGCATCAGTGTGCCAAAGAGGCACCGCAACCATCTGATACTGCAGTTTTAGGATGCAAAGACAGCACAGGGCTGGCACAGAGCAGGCGCACACAACAGGTGGAAGTGGAAGTATGGATCAGGCCCGTCTGGCAGGAGCTGGAAGGAACCCCCGCAGCCCTGTCTTTCGGCTGTTAACTGTCAACCATCCAGACATCCAGGCAGCCGGATGTCAGGTCCATCCTTCCTTTTTCATCCCTCCTTCCCTTTACCCCCCCTCCTTTTTTTTTTTTTTTTTTTTTTTATTCCAGAGACAGGGAGAAATAGGCAGAGAGCTCTCATCTGCTGGTTAACTCCCCAAATTCTCACAAATTGCCAGGATTGGGCTGGGATGAAGCCAGGAACTAGGAGTTCAACCCAGGCCTCCGACATGGGTGGCAGGGACCCGAGAACTTGAGCCATTTCACCCAGGGTCTGCACTGGCAGGAAGCTGGGATCAGGAGCCAGAGCCGAGGACTGAACCCAGGAACTGTGACATTGGACACAGGTGTCTTAGTCACTAGGCTAGAACGCTCACATCCGGTTGCTGGATTTCTGACAGCTTCTTAGGCATAGTGAGCTCACAGATCTTCACTCAATTGACTCCAAGCATAGTCAGAGTGTGGTTTTGTTTCCCTTGCTTCTACATGTTCTTTTTTTAAAAAAAAATTGTTTTATTGTTTTATTTATTTGAAAGGCAGAGTTATGGGGTGGGGTGGGAGAGAGAAAGATAATCCTCTATCTATCCTCTAGTTCACTCCCCAGATGGCTGCCAATAACCAAGGCTGGGCCAGACTGAAGCCAGAAGCCGGGAGCCTCATCTGGCTCCTGTGGGTACAGGGGCCCAAGAACTTGGGCCACCTTCTACTGCTTTTCCCAGGAGCATTAGCAGAGAGCTGGATCGAAAGTAGTACAGCCGGGACTCAAACCAGCACCCATATAGGATGCCACTGTCACAGGAGGCAGCTTTACCCGCTAGGCCACAGTGCTGGCCCCAATTGGGTCCACTTTCAACTAAACAATAAAAACCTTGTGTGGTCTTCAGCTGTGCAGGAAAAAGGCACAGTGTTGAGTTAGGGAAAAGTTCTAGAGGAACATCAAAAAGAATTAGAGGTTTATTTAGAAGATCATCAGAGGGAAAGCACAAGAATAGCCAGGTTGGTGGGGCTCTAAACATATAAATACAAGCAAACTGAACTTCTTTCTCCACATGGGACAAATTAAAGGGAACCGGGCTCACATAGAAGGCCAAATCCTTCTAGGGTCTGGATAGAGAAACCTCTAGAAAACAGCCACCTCCTCGGTTTGCTTGAATGCAATTCTGAGGAAATTCTGTCTTGCTGCAGACAGGTGTAGCAGGCACAGGTGGCCTCCCTGGGGAGGCAGGGAGGGGCCGAGGAGCTCCCAGAACTGCTGCCTTCTGGAACCAGTGACCGAGGCTGGGGCAGGCATAGGGAGCGGGGACAGGGAGGCCCGGGCTGCCCCCAACCCTTAGCCAGAGCATCATGGATCTGCTTTGTGTGGCCAGGTGGGTCCCCAGAACCTAAGTGACCCCGATTACCTGAGGGTTAAATTCCAGGCTCACTCCCTGCCTGCCAGAGAGCCAGAGCCTTTGAGCCCCTTTTCACCAGCAACACATAAGTAGGAACAAAAGTGTTATCAGAAGGGGAGAAAGACCAGGCAGAACACAGCGGGGAGATTTCACATTGGAGCAAAAGGCCCCCTTCTGACTCGCCTCTGAGTGGAAGCCATCATTGCTATTCCCCTCTCCGATCTGCTGTAGATTACGCAGGTTAACAGAAGGGAATGGAAGGCTCACAGGGGGCACCTCGAAGTGACCTCAGCAGACAGGCATGGCGGGAAGGACCAGCCAAGGTGAGGCCCAGGGGGCCCTTGCCCTCCGCCCAGCCTCACCTGGGTTTGGGAAGGCCTGAAGGCAGCATCAAAGCCATTCTGCAGGGAGTCGAGGAAGGGCTGGACCTTGTAGAGGCCGTGCGTGGTCTGGCTGGAGCGGAAGGCCACGACGTGGAAGTACTTGAGGATCTTCTCGAAGCGGGCCTGGCTCATGACCAGGGCGAGACTCCGGTTGCTGTAGAAGCCGCCGCTCCAGATGCTGAGGACGGACTCGCAGTGGGAGATGCTGGTGGAGATCATGTAGCCCAGGAATGCCTTCATCTCCGTCAGCGTCACCTCCGCCCAGGCCCCGTCGCTCCCGAACCGCTCCTGGAACTTCTTGGCGTACATGTTCGTCTGCACCACCATGTTCTTGAGGACGTTGTCTGGGACAAACAGCTGGAAGAAGTCCACGGCGCTGGCACTGGACGGCATCTTCCGTGTCGGACCTGAAACCCAGAGGCAGGCTGAGTGCTTATGGCAGCCCCCAGGATCCCGGCTCAATGCAGGAGCAGCCACATTCCCAGTGCCCTGGCTGCCTGGAAGGCCACCCTCCCTCTGTCCCTCAAGAAGGAGCCTCCAATGCTGCACCCAGGAGGCTGCCCCAGACAGAGGCCAGGTCCCTCCTGTCCCTCCCTGCACTGACCCCTCTGTACCCACACCCAGGGCTCCCACACCGTCCCCAACACACCTACCACTCCTGGAAGCACATGGCACCCATGCTCTCTGCACCCGGCAGAATGCAAGTTCCGGCCAAGGTGGCACATCCAGTGAGGACCAAGCTGAGAGATGTGGCCAGGATGGGTATGTGGGGAGGGCAAGGCAGGGCAGCACCAAGTCCTTAACACGGGGGCTTGGCTGTGTGGTCTTCCAGCCTTCATTTTCTTGTAAGGTGATTTTGTGAAGAAAACACTTTTACCTCTTGGGGCCTCAAAAAAGTCCATGCAGGATAGACTTTTATGAAGCACCTATAGGGTGACTTTAAATTTCTTGGTGGGTAAATCTGAAGGGGCTTGGTTAATATCAGGCATGCGAGAAAAAGCTCACGGATTCTGACAAATGTGGTCCCTTTGAATACATACACACAGAGACACCCCTGGACGTGAGAAGGAATCATACTCCTGATGAGTCCGCTGTCAGTTGAACATGCTGCAAGTTGAAAATGCATTGAAACACCCATCCTGCCAACACCCTCGCCTGGCCACTTGGTGTACCATCGAATCGCAGTGGTTCAGTCTCGCCGTCACGGGGCTGACCAAAGAAAGGATCACATCGGGTATCGCTAGCCCAGGAAAAGATCAAAATTCAGACCTTGAAGCATGGTTTCTGCTGAACGCACCTCACTTTCACACCATCATAACTCTCAAAGAGCTGTGGCTTTCAGCTCCAGGTGGTTACCTAAGGTGGGCCAACAGCACACAGACTCTGGGAGGAGAGAGGCTTTGCATCTGTCGCATCCATGTGACGATCTCTAGTGAAAGCATCCTTCCACATTGTAACCACTGCTCCCCCTTGCCTTCCTTTACTACTGATTTACACAGTCTGAAAAACAAGCTTTCTCCAGCAAGACCGTCTAGGAAATGTACACAGCACAGGTTTGGGGAGCTGGCATCCCAAATTTACTTCTAAATAACTGCCCAATCTTAGATACATTACCTAGTATCTTCTAGTTCTAGCTGTTTGTAAAATGGGCACAGGGATACCTAATTCAAGATGTTGAGGCTGGGGTCAGCGTTATGGCTCAGCCAGTTTAGCCACTGCCTAGGGGACCTGGGGGCAGGCAGGCAGGCAGTGGGGAGGACCTTGAAGAGGAAGAGGAGGTGCTACCCAGGTAGGTATCTGGGTCCAGGCTGCAGGTACTAAAACGCATGCCAGGAAAGAACTCACAGCATCCTCTCCAGCCAGGCCACCACCCACCTGGTGTCCTCAAACCCAGGCACCACAGCAGGACCCAGGGATGGGGGCAGTGTCACAGTGGCTCAGGGAGCACCAGTCCCCCCGAGGGAGTCCCCTTGTCCCCACCACCAGGCCAGGAGACACACCCCTCGCATTAACAGTGACTAGAAAAGCAGAGGGTCCACTTAGATATGGGGTGGTGACCCAGAGCAGTGAGGGAAATCACTTATCAGTGGACATGTGAACATCAAGTTGATCTTGGAAACAAAGGTATGAGACCCCCCTACTCCCTCCCCAGGAGCTGAGCAGGTAAGGACTCAGGCTAGGAGGAGGACTGTGCCCAGTCCAGGGACCCCAAGGAGGAGGCAGGATGTGGGCGGCTCCCCAGAGGCCCCCTGAGCTGGACTTAAAGGGTGTTAGGGAGTGGCACGGTACTTCAGGCAGCGGGAACATCTCGTGGGAAGGCCTTGTGGTCAGAGAGAAAGCCCTGTGTTTAGTGTGACGTGCAGAGGAGACAGCAAGGGAAGGGAGACGCTGGAGGCACTGCAGGGGCCGAGTCTGGATGCTGCCCCAGGGCTAGAACTTGCTGGAGATGGTGAGGTGCTCAGAAGGACCGTGAGTGCAGCGCAGCCACCCCATATGGTTTCAGCAGGTTGCTCTGCCACATGCCAGCCGCTCCTGAGGTCAGGTGAGACCTGGCAGGAGACTCAACCAAGTGGGTGGTCAGGGCAGCTTCTTTGGCTGGCTCCCTTGCTTCCCCGTACTGTGCTGTTTCCCTACAGATGCATATGGCACCAGGAGTGATTACAGGTGAGCCACTCCATCTACAGTGGCCTCATCCATTTATATCTCATCTTCCTCTGAACCAGGACAGGAGGAAAAAAAGAAAAGGTGGGATCTTAAATCACACGTGTGTGCAGTGAAACTGTTCTCATTCCCTGTTCCCTTTCTCCTTGAGGCCCCCCAAGGACCACCTGGGGCCTTGCTCTTCCTCCCCTGGCCCACACAGACCCATCGGCAGGTCCTGCTGCCTCTCCCGGCAAATCACACCACCGCCCACGCACCACAGCCGCCTCTGGCCTGGGAGACAAGAACAGGCATTCTCACCGATCACGCACCACCCCTGGAAAGTGACGACAAGAATACTTTGTAAAACAATGGAAATCGGATCACAACACCTTCCCATTTCGAACATGTCCACGACTTCCTGGGCTTGTGTGGCTGGGCCCTGTGAAGCCCCTCCAGAATCACCCCTGGGCCACTGTCCCATGCCTTGTGTGGACGGAACTGGTTGCAGGCCTACGCAGTGGCAAGCTCCTTCCCACCTGGAGGCCTGACCACCTGCTGGGGCGACGCCCTCCCAGCATCCAGCTTCGCCAAGCATCGGTGCCCTCAAGGCTCTCCTGACCGCTGGCCTGTGAGCAGACACCCCTGTGCTGACCTTCACCATCCTGAACACCCGGCTTCCCTCCCACCCTGAACACAGCTCACATCTGTTTTATTAGCCACTCGGACTCGGTTTTTGTCTGCCTGTGCTGCCCGCCCTCTGACCCCAACCAAAGTGTGAAGGCACAGGTCCGGGCTGCTGTGTTCTCTCTGCATGCTCAGAGCCTAACTCATAGCATGGTCAATGCCTGGCCCTGTTTAATGGATAGATGAAGAGTCATGAAGAGGGAAATAGATGCTGTGCCCCACCCTGGACAAGGGGCATCCTTTCCAAGTTCAATGAGAAGGGTCAGATCTGTGGGAACAGCCCCTGTGTGAATGCCAGTGACAAGGTTAGGTCAGCCAGCAACACCTGGAACAGAGAATGGTGGAAAATGGAGTGTCCATAGCTCTGCCCAGCTCCATGCTGTTAGCCTGGCCAGCGAGTTAAGTTACCGCTTGTGACACTGCATCTCCTATCAGAGCCCTGGTACCATTCTTCCTGCTCTGTTCCTGATCCAGCTTCCTGTTAATGTGCCTGGGAAAGCAGCAGAAGATGGCCAAGTGCTTGGGTCCCTGAAACTAACTAAAAGACCTGGAAGGACACATGTGCACACAGTACAGTAGCTTGTAAAGAGGTTGCTAATAAAACAATTTTAGAATCAGGCATCTGAGCTGAAATTTTTCACAGGAAACACAGACCATTGAACATTTGTATGTAGTCCCTACAGAACAGAAAACAAGTGAATTGACTGGCTAATATAGATGCTAAATCCCTAAGTTCGACTAGGTGTCCCATAACAAAGAGCTAGTGCCGACAAGGGGTGGCATGTCCCCAAGCCCAAGGTATCAAACATTTAAAGGTGGCTCTCCTTCAAAACCATCCACTATGCAAGGCAGATATATGCATGTGAGTTTAAGAGAAAGCCACTCCCACCCAAAAGATTTTGCTTCTGTGTGATGCCCAGCTCACGTGCCTGCAACCAGCACATAACCTATTGACAAACATCTCTTGGGGAGAGCTCTGCTTAGCAGAGGTGGCCCTGACTACCTCCGGCAGAGTCCTCCCCAACACAAGCACTGCGCTACCACGCACCTGGGCTGAGGACTTCCTCCCCTCACCCCCAACACATGTCCTTCCTCCTATGGCAGCCCCAACTCTATCGGGAGCAGCGGCATTTGATGTTCTGGGTCACATGGACAAATGAGTCTTTGGCTTTTGTTAGTGAACAGAGATTGGGTCATGCACACTTATGCAGCTCCAACAAAGGATTTTACAGCTGCAGCCAGAGCTGGGGCTCAATGTTATTAGCGAGATAATAACACCGGAAGGGTCATAAACATCATGCCCAGTTCAGAAATGGCTCCAGAGCAAAACCTCATATGTCAATCAAATGGAAGCACATCTCCAGCATAAAACCTCACAGGGACCTGCCTCCCTGAGCAGCCAGGAGGTGACAACACCTATCCTATGAGAGTTTGCAAGCTCAGCCACGTGTCTGTGCCGTGGCCTCCTTCAGTCCATGCCGCCTGTGAGAAAACTCTGCCTTTGACCTAGCTTCTGCCCTCTCCCCTTGATGAAATTCATCCATTAAGCTACTTTGCTGCCCAAATTACAGACTTCACTTTTCCTCAGTTCTAAGCTAAGATGTGCAAGAGAGGTGTCCAGAGGCATGAGGGATGGAGTCGCCACTGAGGGCACTGAAACAGGGCACAGGCTGGTTTCCGTTCCCGGTTCTTTCACCATCCCTCTCACCCTCCAAGGAGCCGTGGCTGCTCTGGGGTTTTCACTGTTAACTTGCCTTATCCGTCTTGCCTTATTCACCTTCCAAGATTCATTAAATAAGGAGGCACTGGTGTAAGTGCTTTGAGGAATGTAAATTAGTATATAAAAGCCTCTGCTTATTATCCTGAAATAGCTGCTGTCCATGGCTTCAGCTCCATGACCAGGAGTTCAACCTCTTCGAGCACCAGGCTCCTTGTTGGAAACACGAGGATAACAGTGGCATGGAACGCACAGACTCGGTGCGAGGACTCACTTGGTGGGATGATGCATGTCAAGACCTGAGGTGCCTGATTTGAAGCCACACCCAACGAGCAGTCCCTGATCACACCCACAAATGCATCT